TACTTGCACCAAGTTCAATATTCCATTTGGACTAAGTATCTTGTTGTGGGGTAATTTTCAGTAATCTTTTTAATAACTTTGTAATCTTCTTTTTAATTTTTCATGATTATTAATTTTAATTTTAAGAAAAAGAAAGCATTATTACAAACAATATAAAAAGCGAACAGTCTGCACTAAATTTTTTTTTTTAATTAAATTGTACTTAAACAAAATGAAAACAAAAAAAATGACAATTTGTGCCACGAAGGAAAATATGTTGATGCAGTGTCAAGGTTTCCGATACACTTTTGATAGATAAACATTGTCTAGATGTTCGATTATGAACGTTTAGTATATGAAGCTGCAAGTTTAAATATCCGATTGTTGATAATTTAGTGTTTTTGCCTTTTTGACGTTTTTCAAGATAAGCCCTTTTATTTGCTGATATTTTTTCTGGTAGTGGGCTATATTTTATATTTGTTTTATTGTTTTTCAGTCGGCCTTTTTTTTGTGGTGGGCCTGAGGTTATAGCCTCCTTAGCCTCTACCTTAATACGGCCCTGTTTTTTAACAGAAAGTTTACTTCTTACCGAATTTATAAAACCAATGGATCTTCAAGGCTTTTTGCATATTTTTTGCATATTTGATACAAAATGGGGGATAAATTAGTGACATTATGGCCCACTACCACAAAAAGAGCTGGCTACAACTGACCATATAACTGACAACACACTGAGTTTTTTTTCGGCAAAAGTAGTGTGAAGGAGCTGCTGATAGAAACCTTGGAAAGTGCTGTTACAATTGCACATCAAGTTAGGCTTCATTATTCTTTTTCAAAAACTGACTGAGGATAAGGTTAGAGCAAGTATCTTATTCGAACAACAAATCAAGAAGATCAAAGAATATGATCTCTGAACATGAGCATACGAATCTAAGTGGAGTTAAAATCTTTATAAAGAAAAAGGTATATTAAGAAGCAGAATGTCATTATGTTGGTCAGTGCTCATGTTGAAAGTGAAATTAACCAAATTTTCAGGTGCACTGGTTTAATACTAAAACTAAAACCAACATTCCTGCAAACATATTACATATATTAAAACTGAAATTTTAGCTAAACAAAACTAATCTAAATATGCCATTTTACATTTGTTGTTATTTAGATTTTTTTTTTTTTTTGACAACTTTATTCAATCTTATATAATAAAAATAAATAAAATTCTTTCTATCTTATTTAATAATAATAAATAAATAGTCATATATATATAAGGAAAAATAAAATTACTCATAGAAAAATCTAAAGAAATAATTAAAAGCTAACATCCACAAAATAATATCCTTGTTCACTTACTATTTGAATTAATCGTTCTTATGTATTAACCAATCGAAAACAAAAATATTAATTATAGCACCACCTAGCATTCATAAAGATATTATTATTAAAGGTTCTTTTTTTAACAAGGAATGCATTAGATTTGTTGACTCAGCAAAAAGTTATCTTTACAAACACAAATAAATAAGGTTGTTAAAAACTTCAATATATTGAGTAAAATATCCAAAATAAAATTTTTTCTATCTCTCAAAGATTTGTGCACCATAGTATGTTTACTAATATTTGCACAGTTAGATAGAAAATAATGTAAGATATCACAAATTTAACAATTTGCATTGGCTAAAAATTAGAGAAAGAATATGTTTCAAGGTCATTTTAATATTGCAAAAATCTATTATTCTGGAAACACTAACGCCATTATGCAGTTTAATTCATTACTCAATGTCAGAAAGAACATTAAAGTCAAACAAAACAAAATGCAGAAATCGTTTTGGTAATCAAGCATTATCACATTATGGTTCTAAACTTTGGAATTTACTTCCAAATATCATACGTGAAAAAAAACAACAAATTATTTATAAGAAAAGACTTATTTACACGACTAAATCTTATTTCATGGTGAATGGGGAACTATTCCACCAGAAAACTCTTGAATGTTAAATAAGAAAATTTAAATATTATTAAAAATTTTACTAATATAATAATTTGTATCACAGCTGAGCGCTGTGCTACAAATTATTATATCAAGTGATGAGCCATTTTTTTCCATTATTCTGGCAAAACACATTAGCTGTGGGTAAACCAAATATTTTTTGTGGGTTATTATTTATTTATTTAAACCAAATTAGTTTTCTTTAAATACATTGTTATCAAGATTCAAAATATTATGCGTACTACAATAGTTTTAAGATTTTAACTTTTGATACTTGATTAGATCGATTCAGGCTACTTATTAACTAAAAAGATAAGTAATTTAAGAAAATCATATTCTATGATTTTCAGATTATGAAGATCATAGAATATGATGTCCTGAACATAATCAAAGACAGTGATATGAGTAACAAAAAAGTAACAAAAATATGACGAAGAACTACATTTCTGGGCTACTTTGTGAACATTATGATTTTTTTTTTTCAAGTTTCTCAACCCTAACTCCATAACAAAATTTTTTTGTGAAACTAGGTTTGAATCTAATAATTCTATTTATGCTTCTTTATTTTTTGGCATTTCAACACTACATTTCTCAATAAAATAAGGTCTCAGTTAAAGTTATAATTCAAGATGTTTTAACGTTGTTTCTACCATTCTCTTTATTCTTTTTTCATTTCTCTTTTTATTCTTATTTTTGATCAAAATTGCCAAGTGTTATCTCTACAAGTCTTAATCTGACAATCATTGTTGTTAAGTGCAGTCTTCCAGATTAAGATTTGTATTTGAACTTAGACCTCTTGATTTACATCTAGATAATCTACTTGTTTCTGAGGCTATTTAAATGAATTTTACAGTCTTTGTCTATATACAATTGTTGTTACTTTCAGACAGAATAAATGAAAATATGAAACTTTCTTGCTCTGTCTAATTAAAAACAAATTTTATACTTTTACTGTGATGTCATAAATTAAATGTTTGTTCAAGCAATTAAAACACAACATTTTGGATAAAAAAACAAACATTGTGTTACAGCAGACCTGAACTTATTCTTAACTAATTCTATTACCAATAAAAAGGCAGTAAGAAGCCAAATAAAAAAGTTACTTCACTTGATTACGAAAAGTAACATGTAACTATACCTTTTAATCTAACTGGAAAGTCATAAAGTATCACAAGGCTGTGGTCTTGGCATTCTAATATACAACTCTAAATCAATGATTTGTCAAATCACATTGCCAACCAGGTTAAATGCTACATAGATGATAACAAGTCATTAGTGAGAGGCAATATCAGCAGAAAAAAACATGTTTCTAAAAAATAAGCAACTAATATGATTGCTAAAAACATTAATCTATACTGTATTGTATTTGGTTGTATAAACTTTGATGACTTTAAAAGACACAACAGTTGCTAACAAAATGTGTTTAATTAAAGCAAACCTATGAAACAATTAGTTACTTTATTTAAAAAAGTAACTAACAAGCCTTTCATGTTATGATGAAAACCAAAATTCTATTCATGAAGTATAAATCATTAAATGATTTATACTTCATGAATAAAATGATTTGATGTTATGATGAAAATCAAAATTTTATTTATGAAATATTAATCATTTTATTCATGCTTTGTTTCACACTTCACAAAAAATAAAAATTTATGAAAAATTTTAAAGAAACTGCATAGAAACAGTATATGCAGATATAGACGTGTGCCAATCATTTTGCGTATTTTTAAATTATATTTTATCACTAAAAGTAAATCTTTTAAAGAATTCTAAATTATGAAAAATACATTGCAAAATTTATGAAAAATTGGACTAGAATCTAAAAATAACTATAATTGCATCAGCATTTATAAGTGTGTAATGGCTTACACAGATGAATTTACTTGCAATCTAACCTGAATGTATATATATATATATATATATATATATATATATATATATATATATATATATATATATATATATATATATATATATATATATATATATATATATATATACTCTTGCATGTCTCTTGCGTGGCATCAAAAAAAATTTCCCATAAACTGTAGTTTTAAAGAGCGCGTTAATAAACCAGACCAGAAAAAGTTTTGAAAATTTAAAAATTAAATTTTTTTTTTTAATTGATAGACTGCCTGGCCAAACCAAACCCTCAGTCGTTGTAGCAGCACTCCCTTGCGAGTCAGGCTATTTGTCAGTCGATGTAGCAGCATTCCCTTGCGAGTCAGGCTATTTGTCAGTCGATGTAGCAGCACTCTGTTGCGAGTCAGGCTATTTGTCAGTCGATGTAGCAGCACTCCGTTGCGAGTCAGGCTATAAGATAGTCGATGTAGCAACATTTACGCATGTTTTAAAAATGTTTTTTATTAAATCAATAACAAAAACACTACTAATTAAAAAAAACTTTCTAGTCGTTATAATTGCGGTTTTTTAAAAAAATTTTAAAAAACAATTAAATTTAATGTACTTCCGCATAAATTAATTGCTTTGACATTTCGATGACAATCAAAAACAGCTTAAGAGACGAGGTAATTAAAATTGTAGTCGTAAGAGACTTTTTTTACATTAAAACGCTCTTTCGACTACACTATAAGGGTATATATATATATATATATATATATATATATATATATATATATATATATATATATATATATATATACATACATACACACATATAAATACATTTGTTATATTTTTGTATGCTATAGAATTTAATATTCCTTATATCGTATGTATAAAATATAGAATAACAAAATATTTATTATAAATTTTTCTTCAAGTATTGCCTAATATTATTATAATATTACAGAATATTAAAATATTTATTACACATTTTACAAAAAGTCTTGTCTAATGTTGTTAAAGATATCAAATATAAAAGAATAGAGTCTAAAGAAAACATGATAAAAAAACTAATCTAAACAATATTGATAAACTTTTAAAGTTTAGACTTTTAATAAAATGATAAAATTAACTAATAAAAAACTTAATCTAAAATGACTTACAATAATGAAAGAAAGTATTGAAGACTTACCTAAAATAGAAAACAAAAATAAAGAATCTTCGGCAGGTTTTTTTGAAGCATTCAGATTAACAAGAAACTTTAATACACTATTTTGACTTTTATTGGTTAATCCACAAATCATTGATAAACAACTTTCTAGTCTTTTATCAGCCATAATTTCTTCACTACTTAAAAAATTATATGCATATACAGATGCACAAAACTCCATTATTGTTAGGTGTGCAAACTGATAATAATAACCTAGATTCGTTTCGATCCTTTCTATAAATCCAAAAAAAATTTCTTCATTTTTATTGAAGTCAATGATAAATGTTTGAAAATCTTCTTTGGAAAAAATTACTTTATTTTCAACCAACAAATGATATGCAATTTTACAAATATTTAAAACATATTTCTTATTGGAATCGTTTTCCATTATCTTATAAATCAATTCATTGTTTTTGATGATATGATTTTGAAAAAAGTATAAAAAAATATTTGCATACAAATCTGTCATTGTTAAAAAAAAATTTTTATCTTTATTTTTTGAGTCACTAATAATTTTACACATAGAAGATAAATAAAATGGAACAGATGACATGGATTTTGCAATCGGAGACTCCTTCAAAGTTGCTTTCACAACATCTTTTTTTTCCTCTAAAACATTATTTTCTATGTAATTATTAACACCATTTTTATTAAATCCCATTATTTGAATGGTTAACTTATCACTATGCTCTGTGGATATATTTTGGTATTGATCAATTGCATAAACTCTACCAGCAACTATATATTTGTGTTTTTGAATTTCTTTCAAAGCATTAACAATTGGATAGTTACAACTTGAACTGTGATTTAAGAATTCATTTAAATATTTAAACTCATCTAACCCATCTATTACAAACAGTGCAGTATGATTACTAATACTAAAACCATTGATAATATCTTTGTAGAAAACATTTAGTAATTCATCAATATTCGAAATATTTTGACATTGATTAAGCCTCCTGCATTCCAAATAAAATACAAGTTTAACATTTTTCCAAATTAAATCATTTGACCAATCAAGCAAACATTTTCTAAGCAACCATGTTTTCCCAATACCAGCTATTCCAGATATTAATGTTACAGATTTTTCTTTCATAAATATTTCACTATATGGAATCGGTGTATAACACAATTGCTTTTCGAGAAATTTCTTTCGTTCAACACTATAAACAGCATCTATTTCCGTATTAACTGCATCAACGATACATAGATCAACAAATTTATTCATTAGATCAACATTTGAGGGTGATTTTAATGGCGGTTGAACTTCATTAATTTTCCCATAATTTGTAATATAAAAACTTTTGAGTGCCGTGCATATTTCAGATATATCTAAAAACAATAATTTAAATCATCATCATCATAATCATCATCATCATTATTTATATTTATTATTATTTATACAAAAAAGATGTAGCACTTTATTTCTTATTTCTCATAATATCTATTTTTTTTTTAAATTACCCAATAGCATAATTTTACAAAATCATACAGTGAATCGAAATTGATGTGGATAATTGTAGGTGAAGATGGGTAGGATTGAATCACAAACAAGAGAGAATCATGGATCCCATAGATAGAATGTGCCAAGAAAAATACCCCAAACTTTCACTGAGTGATTACAAGTAAACTTGTGTTAAAATTATCTAATTTTCTAACAGTTTTTGACATGAGGATCTAATATTGCTTCAAATTTTTTTTTTTTTTTTAAATGTATAATTTTTATACTGGTTGTAAGTTCTTTAAATAACAGGCTGACTATTTCAAGATATCAGAAATAGGTTAAAAAGTAATTAATAAACTATAAAATAATAAATAAAAAATAAATGTAGTATCTAAAACTTTTTTTTTATAGACCTCATTCTTACAAGTGCATTAAATATATTTATCCAGTTGCATAGCTTAGGGAGGAATTAAATACAAAATTACACTCTTAGTGTAAATTTTGTGTTTAAAAAAGTGATTGTTTGCATTGAGTATTTTTTTAACTATTATTATTTGAATCAGTTTTATTTTTTTCAATTATGTTATTTAGATCAGTTAAAAGTAATGGAAATAATGGAAAGCTTTATTCTCATTATAAATGAAAATAATAGAAAGCTTTATTCTCATTATAAATACTTGTTAAAAATTTTATATATACTGTAAATACTTTATAAAGACAACTAAGCATAAATAAAATAATATGATTGCATATTCCAATATTTTATTATTCATATCATATTTTTGGCGCCCTTGGAGATTTTAGCACCCTAGGCAAATGCCTAGTTTGCTAATGCCATGAGCCAATGCCAATGCCACAAGCCGGCCCTGCACGCTTTCTATTGAGGTTGGCTGTTGCAAGTTAAAGCATCAAGCAGTTTTTTTAAATTATTTGTAATACTTCCAGTATTCTCATACATTTGAAATTTTTTTTTTAGGTTTTTGTTAGAATCTTTAGTTATAACACGCTTTTTAGGTTTATAAACCTAAAAAGCGTGTT